TGTGCTTAAACCCTTACAGCTGGTGCTGGAAGGTAGGGTGTATCAGTCATGCAATTTATGCAGTCGATCGCGTATAAGTCCGTCGTCACATGGATAGGTGGGTATATGCATGTTTCTGCAGAAAACCAACAAGCATTCAATTGGATTCAAACTACTGATTGTGGTGTGCTAACTATAGACATCGTCGTAAGCTAAAATGAATCCACGTATTGCCATCGTCAGTGGGAAACCCAAATTGTCCAAATAGTAGTTGAAAAATACCGATCATATCAACAATGTCAATAATCATTAAGGTATTAAAAAGTATTATTAAACCACCTTTTACACACAGTAATATTATCGATTCAAACCTTTACAACCGGGCCACCACCACTCAAATATATTTTCCTGGTTCCAATCGATTGTACTTTTGAGCCCAGCAAGAGGTATCGAGTATCGAGTATTGAGACTACCTACAAGTTATGAAGAAAACATCGCTTAATCCTTCACTAAATGTAGTTTCCCGGTGATTCTGTTGTGACAAGGGTCAGGTGTTTTGCTTATGTGGTCACCTCATAGCATTGTTTCATTTTATCGGGTGGGCAGGCTTCTAGAGTCAAAATAGTATAACCAAGATTAATTTCGCACCGTGATAGTCGAACTTGCAAGAACCCATAAATCACTAGTGCTACGGCCCATAAGAAACGTATTCTCCCGCGGTTGATTTGTTTAAACAAGAATAAAGTTAATGTGAAGGGGACCGGAACTCAAATCGGTGTGCAAGTCCATGCGATTGTGATAAAAAATGGCAGTGGAATAATAATCAGTGGAGAACAAGTTGTGAAGCCTCTAGCACGCCTTACAAAATTCCAACATAAATGAAGTCGCATGCAGCAGCTCGTCTCGTGTGACATTTTCACACACGGGTAATATACACCTATCAGTCTGCGGGGGCTGACAATTATTTTTTTCAGTTTTCAACTGTGTATTGTGCAATTTTCTGAACGTTTCTCGCAAGAGCGGATAACCACACACACACACACACACACACACACACACACACACACACACACACACACACATACCTCCCATAAAGCAAATGCATTTTGACGATCCCGACATGTTGGTTGTTGGGATGAAACAGTGTGGGAACCGGTCCAACTAACTACCTTTGTTCACCAACCCACCCAATTTTATTTGGCTTATTGTTTGTCATTCATCGATAATAAGACTTTTGTGTCTCCACTCCAAAAGACCAGGGGCACACGCTTAAGAATCTGTTGATATCCCAGCCGCTGGAAACAGGTCCTCTCGTAGCGAATAACTGATAGAAGCGTGCTGCGCTTACCGCTTCCATCGCACTATAATATCGATTCATTATGAGTGTAAATCGTTAGTTAAAATACTCCTAAATGCATGATGTCTAAGACTGGTGCTCATTATTCAACCGTCTTTCTCTCAATTTAAGTCAAACTGCG